AATGCATAGACAGACACCAGTTTATGAACAGTCAAGTTCTGATTTCATAAACACCAATGCAACTTAGCGGTGTACAGAAAGAGAGGGAAGGATAAACTGTGGTGGAACCAGAGAGCATGCAATATATGGTAAATAAATGCTGACGAACCGGTTTTTTGAGATCGGGTGCCTCCCCAGCCTGATGTTGATCGGTAGAGGCAGCCGATATCATGCGGTTGCTTGTAATCACTTGAGTGGTCGAAGAGAGCCTTCGACGTTTTCGCTTGCCGCTCATGCCTCCCATCCCGTCGGCAGAACTGGCATCGCTAACTGCTGCCGAGAGCAGCCTGTCACCGAAGAAAGCCTGCATCTAGTGGTCTAGGAATATTTCCTCCAAATTTAACTTCTTCTTGTTTGGACGTCGCTTCTTGCCGAAGGTGGGGACTACGGCGTCGAGTGGCAGTCTGGAGCCAGCGGAAACTGCTGCTGACGCTGCCGCAGGCAATTGTGAGTTCTTTGCGACTTTAATTTAGGTAAGTCCAATAAAATAGGTTGCGTGCATATCTGAAAACACGAAACTACCGACCAGTGAATTCAAAACAATTATCGATTTAGCGCCATTAACCCTTGATTGAGGTGCTAGATGTCTTTCCTCACGACGAGGTGTGATCTAGACCCATATTGGTCGATTTCACTTCAACAATCCTGAAACCCATCTGACAATAAATAACAAAATGCACAATTGCAGGCCAAACAACATCGGCAATGGATTTAAATATAAAAAGACAAATTGATAAAAATCGTTAATGTGATAAAAACTGTTTTGATTGGTAAATGAGAGCATAGCCTTGAGGGGCGAATTCTCAACGAATGACAGGCTAAGCGCGCTCCGAAGCTCATTAAGAGCGATTTGCAATGCCTGATGCCGTTCCCTACCATGTAACTTTTACACTATTGGATGTGACCAAGTTGGCGCAATTGCATTGTTGATTTTGGTAAAACGAGACCACGTTTCTGATGCTTCGTTCAGCGGAACATCAACTATTCTACTGAAATCGATGCAGCAGCAGTGTGCGTGCATGTGTGGCTCCACTGGTTGGGACTGAACGCGTAGGTTCACTTGATAACTCCGTCGATGCCTTGCTGACTGACACAAAACAAGGTAATTTTTAAAGCTAGATTTCCTGGAGCCCAATGTAAATGCATGGAAGTCGGGAAAACTGAAAACAGCCATCCACAATGTGTGGGCAGCGTCGCAAAATAATGTCGCACTGACATGCAGAGAAGTAGCGTGTCACAGTTATTTCATCTAATCCACTAGGCTTATATGCACGTGCATTGTGACTCTTCGAACCTGCTCGACCACTGTTGAGGAAGCACAAACTTTAGCATTTTGACGATCTTCATTTTCTTCTAAAGGAGTGAGACTGAATTCAAGCGTTGGTATCGTGGCTGAGTGCATCATTGTGCGCAGGATGATTCATCCCACTCAAAGCCAATAGCCTCTATGACCTTGAAGTAAGTGCTATACAGTCAATGTGTCAAATAGCTTTGG